CGGTTCGCCTCGATCTATCTTTGGTTGTAGCACCACAAATTGCAAAGCTGTAAATCATTCAATAGCTGAAAATTAGATCTCACCAGACAAAATAAATTTTGCTGCTTACATCCGTCAAATAGGGCGAGAAGAGCAAGAAGAATGAACGGCAGCTCTTTTCCTGCCCATTGGTATAGAACTCCTCCGTACGGTGGCCCAACTAGTACTCCTAAGGCTAAACCACCTAAGGCGATTCCCATAGCGCTTCCTCTTTCAGCATCATCTGGGTAGGCTTGAGCTAGCATTCCCATACCTAGAAAGTGATCTCCACTAACGTTTTTTTCTCCTAGTTTGCAAAATGAATCGATTTGTACCGGAAGTGCTAGTACAAGCAGATCCTACGCCCTGCATAGCTCTGGCAAACCACAAAGTCCCATACGATGTTCCAAAAGCGAATAATATCGTTGACAGAAACATAATCACAAATCCTGCGAACATCGGTAGCGTATAGCCAATCCTGAGTAATTGTTAGACAATTTTCCATAGTATTAAATGAATGAAAAATTTCCAACTTATTTGTCAAAGGTCCAATCCACGGATTGGCCACCAACTGAACTAATGCCTTTGAACCAAACATGATTCCAACTAGTACATTTTCCTTTGCCAAAATTTCATGCCTTTCAGTTTTTTGAAAAGTTTGAACAGTCGGCTCTGGTGTTGGCCGCATCTGAGGCCTTAAAACTATGTTCTTTGTTCTAATCCATATACTAGGAGCATAATATGATACATGACTTTTTTACCTTTCGCTATATCCTATGGGCGGTTTCCGACTAGGTTCCTTATAGCGCTGCTTGGGTTTCTTGCGGCTTTTCTCCGGTTTTCTCTGAGGGGCCAAAGGATTTTCGTCCCACGGAATATCATCACCACTTCCTCCAGGCATCGGCATATCCCAAGCGTCGTCATCCCAGACTATCTATAAAATTTTCCCTAATCCAATTATGTGACAACAATTTTTCCTACAACCTGTCTTTTCTCGACCACATGATCTTCTTCCGGTTTATTGTAAAGCAGAAGATCGGTTGTGTTTGGATGTGAAATTCGTAGGAGATACTCCGGAATTATAGGCACTGAAACAAGATTGGGATTTACTGGGCAGAGGATTTCGGAACAAGAAAAAACCTCACCAACTGTGGTTAGCAGCATATTATCCAAAAACAGTGCTATATAAACTATTAAGAGAAGAACTCTCCTATTATTTCTATAGCTGTTAATTGTCTCGTAAAGAGTCATAATCTGAAAAATGATTGAAAGTAAAAGAAAGTAAGAGTCATACAAAGATTGTGTTGGAGCATTGCCAACAAATATAGGACCATAAATACGAAGGTAAGCATCCAGAAGTGTGAAATGATATCCAAACATATTATGGCCGACTTTATGAGCAGCAATGCGATTTTTGGATGTTGTGGGCGGAGCGATAAGCGGCTATTCAAGCTACGAAAGCTTTGCCGATAATGTGGAACAGAAGCTCCAAAATCTATGAGTTTTCAAAATCATACAAATAGACAATCTGATAAATAGAAAGAAATAAACCGAATGTTCAAAAACATTTAGGTCTCGCGTTTCAGGAAATTTTTTAAAATGAAAGTAACTGCATGGGACGAGAAGCCAACCTTTTCACCTCAACACTACTGATCTATAAGACCTTGTTTAGCTTTGTTGCATTGCTGGGATATCGGTTTCTCACAAAGGTGATTAGTAGCGGACACCTACGTCGAGAAATCTGATATATGGTCGTAGCGTTGTGAGGGTGGAAAGAACCTACAAGGAACTCAGCAGCGTAGAAAAATAAAGGAGTTGAGGTTAGTTTTAACAGAGTTCCAAATGGAATTCGCTCCTTGTGGAGATGACTTCGCACGCACCAATACATTTGAAGTGGTGAAAGCACTACAGAAAGCGGCTAATCCCTGCTCTTTTCAGAAGTTTAGTTAAAGTTCCATCTGCCTTTGCTTTTGACGAGTATGACGTTGTTTTGTAGGAATAATGCGAAAAATCGAAAACTAACCCATCTTTCTTACCAAAAATTTGAAACATTATCTATCAAACCCAAACGTTCTAAACATCGTCTTTATTTTGCCATGATATTGTGTCGGCAACGATTATGACGACTAACGTGGGGTAGGTTGGTCTCTAAGATTCAATGAGGTGGAAAATCGGAGGTGGTGAATGTTAAGAGGAAGAGATGCACACGCATATGGTAGGAAATGAGTTTAGGCTAGAAACTGCATTGCAAATGTGTTAGGTAATATATGACTATGAGAATGCTGCCCTACGGACATTTGTCTATAAATTTTAAGGTTTGTGGTAGTTAAAAGCATTTTCCAGCTATCTTGGATAGTCCGCATAGCTTCA